CTAAACCCTAAATCCTAAACCCTATGCCCTAGACCCTTAATCCTATGCCCTAAATCCTCTGCCCTGAATCCTAAACCCTATGCCCTAAATCCTTTGCCCTGAATCCTAAACCTTAAACCCTATGTTCTAAATCCTTTCCCCTAAATCCAAAGCCCCTAAACCCTATATGCCCTAAATCCTTTGCCCTAAATCCCAAACCCTAAACCCTATGCTCTAAGCCCCTGAGTACAAAGGAAAAATCCTGGCCCCGCAGGCCTGGCACTGCGAGGCAGCATGGCCAAGATCAGCAGGACTCAAAGTCTTCTGTGCAGAGTGCAGGGGCCTAGCCCCAGAACCCGTAAAGGATCTCCAAAAAAGTAACCACCCAAAAAATGACTCCCATTACTACTTTGGGGAAACTTGGGTATTATTGGGAGGTTCCATTTTTGGGATCCTTTAGGGGGTCTGGGGTGTGCTGGGTCAATCCCCCACTCAGGAATGGGTACTACCAATAACTATTGCAGGTATACTAGGGTTAAGGCCTTTCTCACTCCATTATTCGAGTAGAGTTTGGGAGTATGGACTATGACCGTACAGCAATATACCCTAAACCCTAAACACCCTAAACCAATAAGGTTTTTTTTGGGATGAAGGCTCAGGCTCTTCAGTACGCAGACAACTGTAAAAATGTTCACGGAAGCAGGGATTCGAATCCACGGCGTGGGCTGCGCTTTCCTGTCCAAGGGTTTGGGGTTTAGGGTCTTGCCCTTGCTCCTCCTTTATAAGAATATGGGCCTTAGTCAAAGTCGCAGACGTATTTTGCCTAAACCACGTCCGTCAAGGCCCTAGATAAAGTGTCTTGGAAACGGCAGCGCGGCAATAAATGTTTAGGCTGATCTGGTTGGTGCGGTGTCTTTAATTCTTCATACCATGGTCCCTTTATACCATGGTAAGGAGTCCTATATGCACTCCCTAAAGACAAAGAACCTCTTTGAAGAGACCAACAACCTGCAGAAAGTGAAGGGCTCCGTGCAAGAGACAAATCTGAGAAACAAAGAACCTCAAATGCGGCCTGAAACTTTCGAGACCCAATTGCAACCTCGAGCTTCATGAGACGTGATTGTCAACATTGACCCAGAACAAGGATTCGGAATTGTATAGTCAATCCCGGAATCCCGGATGAACCCCCGAAACAAACTCTCGCCACCAGCCCCTATCCTGTTGGCCAAGCTCAAGCGAGCTAACAATCCAAAACATTGAAGACGCAGCTCTCTGCCATAGTACTTGTACTCAAACACACATGGAAAACTTACAGGTCCTTAATTAAGAATGAAAGAATGTAATCCATATATAATAGATTCCCTTATTCCCTACAAGGAACCAGTAAGAAAGCCCTGAACCCTGAGCACACCTTTGGATCCGACGGCTGTTTCTCAGGTTTTTAGGCCTGATCGCACTCCGCGCCTAGCACCAACGGCTTGATGCTGTCGCGCGGGCTGCCGGGCTAATAACCAGCTGAGGGTTTAGGGTTGAGGGCTTGTATAAGGTACCGGGGTTTGAGTTCGCTCTCAAAGAGATTTTGTTGAATCCAAACCAAGACGACAAATTGTTGGTGGTCGTTACGCTCATCTTGTTGGATCATAGTTGCTGGAATCAAGAAGCTGAACGCTGGCAATGCAGCACATCACACCACGCTTCATCCAAAACGCTGTTCCTTCCTGAACATGGTTGCGGAAGGAATGGTGAAGTTCTTTTGCAGCTCTAGACACTTTGACCTCCTACACTCCCCGAAACAAACAGAAATTGCTCCCGTCTAGCCATCTTTCATGAGGACTAATTGGTCTCGCATGGCACTCTTGAGTTTCCATGTGAGCTTCGGGACTAGTCCTGCTGGAAGCACGAGGCCTTCTGGTCACACAAGTAAAATTCAAAACTGCTACTCAGTCGAGCGAAGTACTGGGTAGGAGTTTTGTTGAAGGATAGAAGGACTAACATCCACATCCAAATCCTGTTTTTTTTACATTGTACCCTGGTCTATGAAGCGCCAACTACAAGGTAATAAACAAGGCCATGGCGCGTGCGCAAGCAACAAGCCTCAACCCCGAATCCTAGATCAAACGCAGCGCAGATCCCTAATGTGAAGCTCTAAGTCCAATAGCCGAAACCCGTTGGTAGCTCCCAGAATCAGGGTCCTATTTGGGTGCCCTAAACGCAATATAATCTATAGCCAAAAGGGGCCTGCAATTTTGAGAACAACCCCCGTAATCCATACAGCTCCAACCTTTTCATTGACGAACCCTTCCTTCCGCAACTCTGTCGCATCTGCTGAGGCTCAGAGCGCAAGGGGAACGGATCAGAGCTGCCAGTCGAGCTTGTGTCAGATCGGTAGTTCCCAAAATTATGGTCCTATTTTTTGATACTCCTAATATTAGGTGCCGTAAGATACTCTATAACCAACAGCGGCCCATTATTTTGAGAATGACCCAAATTCAGGCAAGGTTAAGGAATTCAGGGTCCAGGTTTCTTTGGTTTGGGGGTTTACAGTTTTTGGGTCTAGAGCTTACGCTTACGTGATTGTCTGGCTGGGTGCGTGACCCGGAGGCTCATACCCACCCCTTGTGCTAGGGTAGCTAACAGTATAACTAAACAGGACCCTGCCCGTAAAGAGCAGCCCCTTGCAAGGTTCTAGCATCAGCCTCGCGGTTCTAAACAGATTACTCCTACTATGGTGTGGAAGAACACTATTGCACAGGTACACGTGAAAACATGTTTTGTCCGGATACCGCGCTAAATATTCCTTCTTTACCCTAAACCCTAGACCCTAAACCCTTTATGAATACTGCCAAATGATGTGGAGCCTAGGATGACCCAAAGCGTTAAGGACGGTAGTCTACAGCCTAGAACGGGCCCTTTTTCGGACTCCATGTTAGTTTGGGAGGTTTCTTTTAGGTTCAGGTGCATGCTCCACACTGCGCAACGTACTTGGTGCCAAAGATTTAGGCTCAGTGTTTAGGCTTTGGGATTTAGGGTTTAGGGTTTTGGGTATGTTTGGGTCATTCAGCGCGTTTTTGTCTCAAAATCATGGTCCCGGCTTTTTGATAGGCTTGCCGCGGGCCCCCAATCAAACCGAAACCCTTACAATGCTATAGCCCTACTATCGGAACCCCAAAAGCATGCAGCGTAATCGCCTTGTTGGACCTTTTGCTTGGCTTAGGTTCATTTCCAAGTAGGTAAATAGATAATTTCTGGCATACCCCTACCCTAACCTGACTGCTGGCTCTCATATGCTTCCCACCTGGCTCCTACGTGAGGTGACGAGGCAAAATCCTCAGAGCACGGCTCACGGGTCCAGCAACGAAGCTGACCATAAGCCGCTTCTTTGCGAGGAGAGTATATGTCCGGTGTAAGCGGAGCTTGGGTGACACGTTTTTTTTCATTAAACGGATTTTGGCTGCTACCGACTGCCTATCTATGCAGCCGCAAGTGGGTCTGTGCTAACAGCAGTGATTGGGTTCTAAGCATTTCCGGGCGAATCGAAAACAGCTAGAACCACAATAACTAAAGCCTGACTTCATATGCCAATAATTTCACAATGGGATCAACTGCCTGACAAAACCTGCGCAGCCAGAATCGCCGCCCAAAGGCACAAGCTCGTCTATGTGCGCTGTGGGAGGCGTGCGATCAGGTAGCTAGCTGCTGTCACTCGCAGACTCGCTGTCCTGTGAACCCAAAGTGACGCAGGAGGGAATAATGGTTTCTCCTCAGTATCTCTTGATCGGGACCTGAAAAAACAAACTATATGAATCATTTGCATTTCCTGGAGTCATCTTGGTTAAGAGCACGGGGAAGGGATCAACGGCTTTAGGCTTTGGTTGCTCAGGATACAGAAAATGTTAGCAGACTACTCAAGGCTCTCGTAACATAGGCATGTGGGGCTTCAGCACGCCAACTCAGTTCCCTGGCCCAAATACTAGATTTTGCCTCAAAGAGCTTAAGTAAAATCTAGATGCCTACTTTGGTAGTTCCGAAAATTAAGGTCCCATTGTGGACCCCTAAATATTAGATGCCGTAATATAATTCAGAATCAAAAGCGGCCCATAATTTTGAGAACAGCTCACTTGCAGGTTAAGAGGGCATGCTGACCTCGTCGGAATCACTTTCGTCCTTCTTTCTTTTTTTGTCTTTGCTGGGCTTTTTCTCCTGCAGGATAAGCCGAGCAGACGTGCTTCACAGCTAATCGCAGAACGCCTGCTGTCTGTAGGTACTGCTTGGAGTTTCAGGGTGGGAGAAAGGTGAGGGCATCAGAGGGATAAACATGGTGCTGACCTCAACTTGCCTAGTACCCAAACCCCAGACCTTAAACCCTAGGAAGACCGAAGAATCCTTTCGGGGTACTTCGTTGTATTTATGGACAGGATGCATGACTGGAACCTTAGTGGCTTTACGTGGTTCCACCTGCAACTATCCATGAACCTCCAAAGTGCCCTCTGTCCCTGACTCTTAATCAATCAATAAGTCTTCCAAGATGTTCGGTTTTGCCTGGGGTTTAGGGTCCAGGGTTCAGGTTTAGGCTCCCGTGTTCAGGGTTGTTATGTTGAGATTCGAGCTCCGCCATCTGAGAGAACCCAGAACAAACCAGGCTAATATGTTTAGGGTTTAGGGTTTAGGGTTTAAGGGTTCTGGTCAGGCATTTATCTATGGAATCCAAATGAGAATTGTTGGCACTTACCCCTGTAAAGAAACCCCTAGACTAGAAGGCCCTTCAAGTCCCCATGAATCCAAGCCTTCACTTGGGTACCCCGACCTGGAGAGAGGAAACTTACCCTCCTACACTCTACATTAGCCACGCTACCTCCTGCCCCTCCTAAGCCACAAACCCTAAACCTCATTTGACTCATGAGCTAGGAGCTTTCAGGTGGTGACTAAGGAATGAACGAACGGAATAGAAGAATAAAAGGGGGGGGCTATGAAATTTGTGTAGGGAATATCGATCCAAGGTAGCAGCCAGAACCCTAGCAGTCCTCCTTTTTGGACTTTTTGTCCTTCTTGTTTTTGGCGCTTTTGCTGTCTTTCTTATCCTTCTTGTCGCCTTGGAGATGCATCAAGGCACCCCCTCCCCAGGTGGGTAGTTTTCATGTCGGTATCCTTACAAGACGCCCATATAAACCTCATATAGCCCCATTACCCTCATACGGGCCTTATATGAGCCTTATGTGGGGGTACCCGGCTGGTAGCTACCGACCTGGGGCGTCCTTGAACGAAGCGCGGGCTCAAGCCCGTGGGGGTAGGAGCTCCAAATTCGGCTGCTTGGAGGCTCATAGGTAGGTAGTTGCAAAGGTTGGAAACGTAGGGTTGTAACTGCGAGAGCGTAGGCGCCTATAACCCACATACTGTTGATGGATGAAATCTTGCACCATCTATCGGCCCTGAACTACTGTAATGCCTAAAGCTTTCGATACTTAAGGTGGTGCAAACATTTCTCCATCAACAGTAGGCCTGAACCTCTGAGTTTGCCACACAAGCTACGTAATTCAAAGACTGCAGGCTCATGGCCTGTAGAAGATACTGACCTTTGTTATATAAACCTCTATATAACCCCAATTTCCACATCATTTTCCATTTTCTTGTCGATTTGACTCTCCGTTATTGGGGTAATATCCCTGTAACCCTTATGGGAGGACAAGGTTCTGGACTCAGGATTTTGGGTTTAGGGTGTATGGGCGAGCGCAAAGAGGTTGGCGAGTTTCTGAAACTTCGAAGCGCAACTTGTTCAGTGGCCCTGCTGCAGTGTCCCAGCCTTTGATGGTTGCAATTCAGCAGCTAAACCCAAACATGCGGCCTCTGTACCCAAAAGGAGGATATCATCTTACTCTAGACGGGGCCCCCAAGAAACATACTGTACTAATCCAATCCAATTGATGTAGGAATCCACACGCAGCACCAGCTTAATAAATCGGAGGCGTTCCGCTCGATTGTGCCTTAGACGATGCAGTAGCAATGACTTTGTGAGAGGTTGGGGCAGCCACGCTGGCACATTCCTACGCATTACTTGTATTTATGGCCGCTTTGAAGGGGTTGTAGGAATATATAGGGTCTAGTCTAGACATGGAAAACCAAATGAGAAAGAACATGGATAATGACATGACAACTGACCCTAAAAGCGTCAACCCCAAAACATCATCTGGGCTGAAGAAACATGCTGAACCAGGCGGCACCCAAGTGCCCGAACCATTGGCTTTAGGGGCCCTACAAAAACTGTGAAAAACTGGATTCTTGTGTGTTACATGAATATGATATGAGATTATATATGTATACATAAATATACCAGATGAATCGCCGCGCTGTGAACCATCAGGCTGAGGATCTCGTAGGCTTCCTGAGCGTGTGGCCCGCGATTCGAGATCTCCAGCAGGAACGACAAGACCTCCCCTGTCATCTGTGCCGTGTGTTCTGGAGGCATGGAATCTGGTCACCAGTCTTGGTCCTGCAGGTGTTCTGCGGAGGGGTTGGCTCCACATTCGGCAGCGGGCTGTAGATCCTGCCTGCTCGATCGTAGCCCAGGAAGGTGAAATGTCCCTTGTCCGTCAGGATCTGGGCATTCTTGCTGTCCTCTGCTGATTGTGGATCTGTCATCACCTTTTCCACCCTGGTTTTCAGCGCTGTGAGGAAGCTTTCCAGCACACGCGCAAGGGCAAACCAGGACTCGATGGATCCTTGTCCTTCTGCACATACCTAGACCCCTCCTCCTACCCTCCATTAGAAGTCCGCACTATTAGAGGTCACGCATATCATCTCAAAAACTCCAGCATCCGGCTTGTTTCTAAAGCTCTTGGGATTAGGGTTATAGGGTTAAAGGTTTAGGAAAATTAAGGGTACAACTTGGATTATATAGGGGTATATAGGACTCAGGGTTATGTCGGGGTTAAGGCGTGGCAGTTGTGAGCAGAATCTCTAATGTCTTACCATACATCATGAATCCCACGCAGCGACTCGATACCCTAAACTCTTTATAAACCCTAACCCTAAAAGCTAAACCCTAAACCCCTAAAGACTAAACCAACCCTCAGCTTTGAAGCTCCCATCTGCTTAGGTATGGAGTACCCTATCTTAAGGGGTTACAATACTACCCTCCAAAAGGTACGCCCCCCAGATTTAGAACCCTATTAGGCCTTATTAAGCCCTATATAGTCATTATAAGCTCCTTAAACCTGGGGGGGTACCTTTGGGGGTGGTACTATTGTAACCCCTTATATCTGCACTCCAGGTTACTCTTTTTTGTTTCTTTTGCGTTCTTTTTGCTCTTCGCCTTTGCCTGCGCAGGTCATGATTCAGGAAAACCTTGTGGGGGGTCTAGGGGAGAAGTTCCGGGGTTTAGGGTTTAGGATTTAGGGTTTACTCCTCTGAACCATTACCACCCCACGCCAAGCCCCCCCCCCCCCACCCCCACATCCATAAACACCCCCCAATGTACTTCCACTGTGGAGTCTGTGCTGGATATTGCGACGGGGTGGGGAAATTCATGGTCAGGGGGCATTACCATCAACTGTCCCTTGTGTTGGCTTCATCTAGACTTGGCTTGGTGGCACTTAACCCTAAACCCTAAAACCCTACACCCTAAAACCCTAAACCCTAAAACCCTAAACCCTAAACTACCTAAAACCCTAAAACCCTAAACCGAAAAACCCTAAACCCTAAACCCCAAACCCTAAAACCCTGAACCCTAATATGCAGGATTGCACCTCGATACTTCGCACGCTCCCTTTTTTCCAAACAAAGATGTAAACACCCATGCCTTAGAAGGACCCCCGACCCTGTAATAGTGGGTTCAGGGTTTAGGATTTAGGGTATAATAGGAATATAACAGGACCCTTATATAATCCTTATTCTCCCTTATAGTCACTATTACAGGGTGGGGGGTCCACCTAACCCATGCCGCAGGCTCCCAACTACTTGGAGGATCAATTATGGGGATAATGGAAAAGAAAATGGAAACTACTATTTAGGGTTTAGGGTTTAGGGATCAGGGTTTAGGGTCATGGGGACTTAGTAAGTGGGTTAATAATGGGGATAACTGGGGTTGTCATGTGGCATAAAGGGGTTGTAAGTATACTTACTAAGACCCCCTGACCCTCCAAGTAGAGGTCAAAAAAGGCTCCACCGCTCCAGACACGAGAATTGCAACCTGGTTCCTGTTGCGGCCCGGGCCTCAGACTCGTCCGACTCCGAATCCGACGACTCCTGCAGCAGGCTTAGTAGGGTTTAGGGTTTAGGGTTTAGCTTGAAGTCGGCTCCGTGAGCGTAACCTGGAAATCTTTGACCAGCCAAGGGTACGTGGTTGGAACAATGTTATTGTCGCTTGGGGACAAGTAGGATTTAGGGTTTAGGGTGTTTGGATCTCTAACAACAGTGCAATTGGCCACATGAACCTTCAACAAGAAACAGAAGATTTTGCTCGATGTTCCGATGTTCGCGAGACCCTCGGCTTCCAACCCTGAAGCCGGGTCGTAAAGGCTACTAAGGAGCTGTAACGCCTTTCATAGACCTGAACTGGCTATGATTGTCACGAATCTTACGCAACCGCCCTTCAAACGCCCAGAACACTGAAGCTTACAAGAACAAGAAGCCACAGCAAACCTGCAGGATACTGAGAGACAGGCGCGAGATAGCAAGCAAACAAGATTGCGGCAAGACTTGAGTATTTCTCAGATAGGGCTGAGCATACTTAAAACACGTATCAGCATCTAGACTCCTCATTATAGCGGCTGCCACTACCCTAAGGGTCCAAGGATCCAAATTTAACATTGTAGTAAAAAGACCTAAAATTTGGGTCCTTGAGACCCTTAGGGCTAAGAACCACGGATTTTGGCAACAATGACTCCTCGTCGTCCTCATTGTCGTCTTCGTCATCATCGTCCTCCTCGTCGCTAGCCCCGTCCTTCGAACTATGATCCGGAAGTAGTTAGGATGCAGCCTAGGTGGCCACAGATCATAAATGGCTGCATTGCCTGTGAAAACATACGGGCGCGTCACGCTCACGAACAATTTCGCTAGCTTCCTCCGCATGTGGGCCCAACAGACTGAATGAGTGAATGAACGAATGAACGAACGAACGAACGAACGAACGAACGAACGAACGAACGAACGAACGAACGAATGAAACATGATGCCGAAACATCCCATTTCTCCTGGAAAGGATATTGAGGCATCCATGTGTGAATGGAAGTGCAGGGGGTCTACCGCTTCCAAGGGGACGGAAGCCTCTTTGCAGCCCAATACCCTAAGAGTCTAGGGACCCAAAGAATAGGGTTTTAGGCTCACATACCATTATTAGAGTAAAACCTAGGACTACATAATCTTGCTGATTATTCAGACCTATGTCGGACTTCGAGTGGAAGCGAAAGGAAGCGCTTGGAGGACATCCCGCCTAATGTCGGAGGTTAATGGTACCAGTAATGAGAAGTGGGTCACATCTACCCAACTATTTCGGCCCTAAAGTTAAGGCGACCCAACTAATGAGGGCGTTTCGAGGGATGCTTCCAGAATCGGTCACAGGGGCCTCTACTCTTACCTTTTGGTAGGTCCAAGATGGAAGCCCATCTTCTTGACCCCCTGGCGCAGTGCAAAGTTGGACGCTTCTGTCCGAGTCATCATCGTCATCATCGTCGTCCGCCTTCTTGGCCGGCGCCTCTCAAATCAGGGATTGAGGGATCAGCCTTTTGGGTACAAGGCCAAATGCTTTGGAAGACATTTTGGCTGCGGCTTCGTGACATATGAGCTATAGTCTAAACTCCTAGTTTCCCTCTAATAAGCCGCATTCTACTCCCCTATACAATCCCCCTGTAACCCCCTTTAAGGAGTTCAGACTATAGTACATGTTTAGACTTCAAGTCTGTGAGTCTACCAGCTCTACCTTCGGTTTAGGGTTAAGGGTTTAGGGTGAAGGGTTAAGGGTTTAGGGCTCTACCTTCTGCGTTCCACAGGGGCCAAGTACCGAGTGATTGGATACTAGGGGTGTTAGGCAGCAGTAAATCGTAGTACTCATCATTGGGAGGGAGGGGAATATGAAAATCAAAAGTTTAAACCCATAGAGACCCGGAATTGGCCAGAAGTTTGGCTGTAAACCCTATAAACCCTAAACACTATCTGAAGCAGCGGGGAAAATAAGGCTTTGCATGAGGCTTTTGGGCTGAGCATTTTAGGTTCAATTTCTCCCCAGCAATCTGGTTAGGGTAAAGCTTGGCTTCAGGAAACCCAATGGCAAGCAGAGGGGCGCACTTGGAGCCATGTAGTCATATATCTAAACTAAACTCCTAGTATCCCCCTTAATATCCCCTATTGTAAGCCCCTATATAATCCCCTGTAGAACCTCCCTTGAAGGAGTTTAGACTGTAGCTCATGTAGTTAGAGACCGTTTAACATTTCATCCGAATGGAAGGTCGTCAAACTTACGCTCTCATTTCCCAGAGAGCCCAATACCCTTAATTAAGGAATATACCCTTAATGGTACTATGGTCCATGATTTAAGCTATATTCCTTAATCAAGGGGTATTGCTCAATGGGTTTGGGCAAAGTACTCCAAATATCCGGGGCCGTAGTATCGTCGGACTCAAGAAGGGATCGTAATCCCTAGGGATCCAGATAGCCCAACGTAGTTAATATTTACAGACTTTAAGGCCTAACGTAAGTACTATTTGTATACTAGGGCCCCTGTAGGAATTTTGACAATCCCTTAAAACCTTGTCGGCTCCCTTTAGAATTGGCCTGCGTGCAGTATGCCAACTGATCGTTGACACATAACCTACATAAATAACCGTCAAAATGATAAGATGACTATCACAGAACCCCAAGAAGAACCAACCAAGAGTGTGGTCAGAGATGCCAAACATGTTTCCTTACCCATGGCAAAAACATTGATAGGAAGAGGGTTTGGGGCAGGTTGTGCTACAGTTAACCAAGGGATCTAAACTTGGCTGTTGCTTAAGAATTTGGATGAAATTGCAACAACATGGATATAAAGTAATAGGGTTCACTTCCTATAGTAACTTGAGTTAAGTTCCT